CAAAACAAAAGGAGGGACAACAACAGGAACAGAGGGCATGCCAAAACAAAAGGAAAGACAACAACAGGAACTGAGGAGACAACAAAACAAAAGGAGGGACAACAACAGGAACAGAGGGCATGCCAAAACAAAAGGAAAGACAACAACAGGAACTGAGGAGACACCAAAACAAAACAAAAGACAACAACAGGAACTGAGGACATGCCAAAACAAGAGGAAATACAACTACAGGAACCGATGAGACACCAAGACAAAAGGAAAGACAACAACAGGAATAGAGGGTATGCCAAAACAAAAGGAAAGACAACAACAGGAACTGATGAGACACCAACACAGGAGATATCATTTTCTGTATGCTAGCTTCATTTTTCATCATACATGCTTTTTTGAGAAGTTTTCTTTACACAACAATATTAAAAAGCCTTTAATTGATAAAAATTAAAACCTGAGTTTAAATTAGATAAATAAAATGCCCCCATTTTGTTTTTGACAGGTCCACAGGTCTACTGCTATGATATCTTTACGAAATAAATCTGGTATTGCTAAGCATGACCTTACATTGACCAACATTATACTAAACGTCTATAAATAGACACCATAGATTAACGTTACTTATGGCTGCGTGAACTTTTGAGATATTGACATGCCTGATATAAAATATACAATAGCATACAATAAAAAGGATTTTCCATCAAGGTGTGGACAGCGTTGTCATAAAATCGGTTATTACATGGCAATTCATTCGGCACGTTTCTCAACTAATTATAGGTTTTATATAAAAGGGCAGCACTTCCTTAATATCAACGTTAGCGTGAACAATTGTTGGATGCGGATCTATAAAGCAGACTGTATTTATGCGTTCAACAAAAGTGCATTTAATATAGAAATTATATTGGCATGCAAATGAAATAAACATTACTGCGGGAAATACGAGATTCATTTAAATTCAGTGAATACAAAGGGAAGGCATGATCGTACAGTAAACGTGAAAATAAGGTATATATATAGAAGCGGATATGAGACGAAGGAACAAACAGTTCACTTTATGAAAAAAAAGTATAGAAGTGTCTGTGTTCAGTGGACGCATGCCCATAGAACGTTAACGGTATAAACAGGTAATATCTCGTGTCTATTGACTAAGTATTACGACAATGTCCTAATACACTAGTTGTGGCCTCTATATAGCGTGAAATACACCCAGGATATCTCACTAAGTATAGATAAGATATGTTATATCTTTTTGGGTATTCCAGAAAGTTTATTCTCAATACCGACCTAAAAGCTGCATTGACCAGATTTTAGCTCAGAATGAACCTATGAGAATGTATAGAAGTCAGAGACAACTATCATGATTTCGGTCTCCTGTTTTTCCTAAAAACATGAAAGTAAATAAAAATAATGTCACGTCACGTCGCTTAAAGTTATTTTACATTGAGAAATGATCCAAAGTAAAAACCATGGGCCAGGTGTGATGAAACCTAAATAAATCATTGGAGAAATAACAACAATATTTCACAAACTATTTATTGCTGAAATGCTATACCGTTGTTTCTTTGACGGCGTACCAACAGAGGTATTTTTACATGGGACTAATAAATCCATACGTGCATATCAGATCATACGATCTGGTCTACATATTTAATTATGACACGGCCGGTTGTTTTCTCTCCTTTCAGGTTTGGAAGTGATTCCTGAATGAAGCCCCTGTATTACACCCTCTTATCACGCTACACATCACTGAAATCTAAATACGTTGATATACTAATATGACGTGTTTGCGGGTAAAACAGTGGCTTGTTTGTGCTGTAACCTTTCAGACGATATATTTATGAAAATTACCTTCTTGGGAATGTGTGACGGTAATTTTGATATTAAAATCAAATCATCATTTAGAATAAAATTCCTTATATATAAATAAATACTTTCGAATCCTAAAAGTACGCTTCATGCTTATTACGTGTAATGTGAGGAGGCCTAGTGTAATTATTACCTCATTTATGAAAATATACGCATTCTGGAATAACATCCTGCGCCGTGAACAGTAGGTACATTGTTGTTCCCAGGGGCGTTTCTAGGATATTTGAAAGAGGGGGCGTAGCATTCAATATTGGACCTTTTTTTTTGCTAAAAAACATAAAATAATTATGAAATGCACTAATGGAACGGTTCCTGACTTGGAGCATGGATATTTTATAGTTAAAGTGTCAGGGTTTGACATTTTTTTTTTATCCGAGTATGTGTTTAATTAATGAATATGATAAATTGCCATATTCAATACAATATTAGCAGATTACGATATTTTATTTATTTTTATTTTTTTCGAAAAGGGGGGTGGGGGTGGCGTACGCCCATTACGCCCTCACCTGGACCCGCCCCTGGTTCCCAACAGTCCCTACTGTATGTACGTATGTTACATTTTACACCACATTACAAACATCTTTATAGAAAAAAAAATATTGATTAAGGTACATGCTAATTGTATTGAGTGTATAAATCGTATATCTATATACTGTAAAGCACTTTTAGAGTGGCTTATTCTAGCTAGATAGGGCGCTATATCTAATGTTGCATATTATTATCATTATATTTAAGTACAAGGCTATATTACTATACCGTTTATCCCAATATATAAGTAAAACGATAGCATTCGCTGTTGTCCTTAATCAACACAGAGATTTCCAATGTATTTAATGCATCCTTATATAGAGCTCATTAGGGTTACCTTTTCATGAATCACATTTCAACCAGATTAAATTAAGTAATGCAGTTCTTCTCGTTATTCTCTTCGTAACCACTTTCTTTCATTTCCTGATGCACCCCTTCCACCCTCCCCTCCCTGATTTCTTCTTCTTCTCTTTGTCTGTTATACTATCAAAATATATGTAACAGTGCCGTCCTACTGCCAGGTTTTATTAATAAGGAGACGAATTACTTATGTACTTGTTTTCGAATCCTCTTCGTTGATTTTGTATTATTTTGTCACTGCCATATATTGAATAAAACAGAGATGTTATATCCCCGGGATATAGCTTATATCTGATAGACTAAAGTCTGTAATTCAACGGAACTCTGTACCTGTAATAACCAACCAATCAAAGGAAACGACCGAACCAATCAGATGAGAAGTAGGTGGAGCTAGTTTTTGACCTTGACGCAGTTTGTAATAGATGTAGATATGGTATTATCGTCCTTGATAGTTTTTCCAAAAAAATGTCTGTATCAGTATGATAAATCAACCTAACTAAAGGATTTAAGGATATAGTCAGTTCCTTCAAGTCAATGTTTATAAACAACAGTGGGCGGTACTTTGAATACAAACCAATGCTGTTTGCATCGTTGTAATATCACAGCTTTTGGTAAAGCACCTCTGGAAGTACTTTCTGGAACAATGAAACGACAATTTCCAACATGCCGATTGTATACCTCTCTATTATAAACATAATATCAAAAAGTACTGGGGTTACATTATATCATAATAACTGTCAGACCCAAGGTTACAATATACAGTTGAGGTATAGGTTTGAGGGGTATAGCAAGTTTCTGGCTCCCCGAGATCAGGTGTTTTTTCCCGAAGCAACACTGAAAGACGTAAACCCTTGTTATTGAAAACAGAAAGTTGTTGATTTATCTCGAAACCTCAAACATTAACTGTCTTATTATACTGATACAAAATGCATGTTCACTTTGAAATAAAACATGATTTCATTCGCTTTTTCCGAAAAGCTATTTAGGGCCGTACCTACTCTTTCAATATGGTCTGCTGTTGTCTTAAGATTATAACAACCAGGTGGGGTCCGATAAGAAGTCTTTAGTTTTCGGACTAACACACGAGTGATAGAGGACTGGTCAGCGAAGTCAGTCACGGGAGAGTGAGTAAAAAAGAGGTAGACGTACGTCGGTTACATTATATCATAGCAACTGTTTATACCAGGGTTACAGTATATCATAGCATGTGTTTATACCAGGGTTACATTATATCATATCAACTGTTTATACCAGGGTTACATTATATCATATCAACTGTTAATACCAGGGTTACATTATATCATATCAACGGTTTATATCAGGGTTACAATATATCATAACAACTATACTGGCTTCATTTTTAATAACAGTGCCTCTGGCTTAATGAAATTTAACAGTTCTTGTTGGGGAAACGTATATTTATTGCTACTTGATAAAAGTACGAATATGAACAAAATACATAAAGTTAATAATACCAAACGTCAACATCCTATTGACCAAGACACTTATTATTGAGATCTAGTAATAGGCTTGGAAACACACTACAATCTACGCTAATGAGGATTTCAAAATTAAGTTGTTCGATAAAAAAAAAATCCATTAAAATTATACATTTTTACGTATATGGTATGTATCCGGCTTTGGTTTTATACCAATATGGAAACACCTTGTTTTTTAAAAGTCAGATTTTTTTTTCTCGTTTGTCGAAATCAGGTACTTATGTGTTTATGTAATTAACATATTACAGATTCGTGGTTTATGATACGAGAAGTCAACATAGCAGTGTGGGGCGTGTACACAGACTGTTTACCACCGGCACACAACTTCACACGTACGCTACACGTCCACGAGTGCACGGGCGATGTGCACTGTTTTAACTACGCGGATTACAATACACGAAAAGCAAATAGGATTCAACTTCAAAGGGGAATCATCATTCAGGCTTACCATGTAAAATGTCAATTTATATTTAAAACCTGTGACCCGTGATTTGATCCCAAACATGAAACGAAAATTTAAGTGGGTACATGTGGTAAAGCTTTAGCAATATCAAAACTTTGCATTGAAGTCATACTAGCATTTGAAATGATGATATATAAATAAAAAAGAACAATATACTTTGGAGAACAATACGTCTGAATGAATGGGATACATTATATATGTAACAGCACAGAAAATGTAAGAGGATAGTTGGTAGACAAGGTTACCTTGCTATTTCCGTCGTAGTCAGGGGAGACGAAGGTCGTTAGTCGGTACCTACACCGCACTTTCACAAAGTCTGGAAAATCGTCCGACATCCTCGTCACAATAGCACTGAGTTATCTTCACTCGTCTACTGTAACGGGCAAATACCCTAGTTCCTTTCTTGCTAGGATTTACTGTGGAAAAGTTTGATTTTCATATATTATGACACCGTTTGCAGGTTTGCACGTTATCAAAATGTCATTCAGTTTCTTGATACCTTGTTAATATCTTATCATCATGTATTTCCGCCATCGTCTTCCTCCTTCGTACCTAATCTTACGTAAATGTTGGGTATCACTATCTCATTGTTAGTTTTTCTCTGCAGGTAACTGTCCTTCCGACGTTGCACTGTGGGTTATCTCCTGTAAAACGACGGACAAGCCTCACGAACTGTCCTGGCAGTTGTTAATCGTCGCACAGGACGGCAACTCTACACCACTTAGGAACACTTTATCTATTTTTACCCACATCCTGAAAATATGTCGAGGACTGTTCAAACAATGGGGTATATTGGATAGGACTGAGGCTAACTGTCAATATGTACAGAATACCTAGATACCTTTCCCCTCACTGTCCGACAGTACACTATGGATCGGCACGCGTGACGGTAATGCCAATTAACAGGTGCTTGTCTAATGAGGCAAAGCGGAGGAGTAGGCTTTCAACTTACAGATTCTGGGCTGATGCCGTTCCTGGACAATAGCTCGACCGATCCTGACCATGGAGGCTAATGTGTGGTTCGGTAATCGATGGTGCTGAACACTAAATGTTACAATACACTAAGACTGTAGGTATATATGACCTTTAGAAGCCACGACATACGGAATGAATGCTGGTTAAGATTAATTGTTTCCGAAAGTAGTATTACAAATGATCGAATTGGCTGTCGAGTAACCGCATTACAGCCTTTTGTGGTTTTGTTTACATGAAAATTCGTCGTTGTACCTTTATAATAGCGTACAATGCGTATAATTGTTCTACATGAAATGGCAAGGAACGTAAAAGTTACTGCAAAATCAAACTTTCGTATGGCATAGATCCAAACAAAATATTCTAAATTCAGAATACGACACTTCCAACTTGTTAAATGCGTTCACTGAAACAACGTTCGCTTATTTCTAACGTGTCCGCTTCCTGTACCTAACACTCAAATCAATTAAAGTCTATCAAGCAATGCGAAGCCACTCCTTTTGCTGAACAGAATTAACATCCGCATGACAAGTCCGATAGAATGGAATCCAGAGGCTCTGTTTTGAAGTATCACATTTTCCGATTTATCAAACAATATCCAGAATGAAAATTCCGTATTTTCAATTGATTTTAAAAAGAAACAATCAATATTTTACTGGCCGTGTATGAGTATTAACAGCTAGGGCGTGCAAGCATGCGTACACATACAGGGATGTCGGGGTTAAGTTGACCCGTTATAGATTTTTGATGTATTTATTGCGTCTGAACACAGAGACTCTGTCTCCACCCAAAAGTATAAATAGTTATATTACTCCCACTCCACTGCCCACAATTCACATATTAGATCGTCTGGTCGATTGCAATACTCCATTTCACCTCTAAAGCACAAAAAGAAAACAGCACAGATTAAATCAGAATTGCAGGATAATCGGAGTGCTCCGTAAATAACATAAATCTACAGTCCAATATTAACTCTCTTGCATGTTACTTGTCAATAACATTACCACAGCCGTGTTTAATGAAACAATTCCGGATAGGTCCTTTTTAGCAAGTCTGGCACTGCAGCAATCGTTGTCGACGGACATCCAAAACATATAGATGGATCTTCGTGAGGTTAACTTCCTCTTCACGCCAGCACGGGATAGCTTACGTATATTTAAGTTCATACATGTGCGTCTTGAATTGTCCAATGGGAGCCGGTAACATCCACAATATAAATAACGGCCAACATTGCACGCGTCTATATAGATTATAGTGCAGACAGAAGCATGTTTTATAAACGCAATCCTCCCTGTCAAATATGCGTGCTCTCAGCAATAACGTTGTAAATAAATTGTTCCACCACTCCTTAATTTTACATTATTACCAGGTAATTATTCCTCCCATAAACCTTCATAACGGTACACAAACATATCGAAGCAGTTTCGCTCCATCAAATACCCACACCTGTATAATACACCTGTTTACATCTGGAGTCAATATCAGGTAATATTGCCCTTTGGTGGCCACAGGCATTCATCCGTCTCCTTTAAGGCTCTCCTTAACTGTGATCTATTTAAAAGGATATTAAAGCATCAACCTCTGATATTAAAATATTTAGGAAATATGATAAGCATAATGAAGCGGTGTTGTTGTTTGGAGCGTCTTTGACAGGCGCGCTACCTATATGTATACGGACGATGTGTTTGTCGTGGGTTTGTAATCGGTCGACTTTAGTCTTGAAACAACATCTCGGCTACCTCCGCCGCTTTATAACATTTCCATTGTCTGACGTTAATTCGTTAAATGACTTGGTTCGTTTCTTTACCTTTTGACATTTGCTGTTGAGGTATATTGCTATGCTACCGTTGTAGCCCCGACTCTTGTTTGCTAAGTCGGCGGGTGACAGCGTAAACCGGTCCATTTTAATTACTTCTCCCAAATAAATTGTTTGCCTATTTACCCGGTGAATAGAATACCCTTCACGCTCATTATGAAAACCAACAAACTCTTTACCAACCCAAAAATCTAAACTTAGACCAATAATCGACTAAAAGGAAGCGACGTTAGGACAGATGTAGAATGGAGTCATTTGGGATCCATGGAATCTCCACGGAGTCAAACGTAGCGTCAGACTTCTACACATGGTGGTCATAGATACAACGACCTCCTCGTTTGATATATAATCAAATTCGTAAGCTCCAATGTACATTGTTGGCATTTTCTATAGATAGCTCAGTCTTTTAAAAAAATACATATGTCTTAAGAATATAAGTTATGTCATACAGGTTCAAGAACAACAGAAACATTGACTAAACGTTCCCAACTGCAAGACGGTTTGACGCGATAAGGGTTCCTTAAGGATGGTATGTATTCGATGAAAAAACAAAATTTTATTAGCAGCAACTATTGAAATACTATGACTTCTTGTTTCCTCTCTGTTATGCGCTCTTTTCTCTGTAGTATTAGTTTGTCCGTTTTCCGGACAAATGACCATGAGGTGGGTTACAACCATACTCAGGTTTAAACAGAAGGTGCACCATATGCGGTTATATGTATCGGCTCTTTATCATGATAGGTGGCTCGTCCGCTTAGACACCGTCAGCAGGGTTTAAGAAAGAAAATAATTTCGAGGACGCCGCAGAATCTCAACAACTAGTGTTCAGAAATGCATATCAATATCTTTTATATATTTTTATTTTTATTTTATTTTTCGAAAAAAATGTACAGATATAATCTATAATCCGTTCATGAATATTCACTTATTCTAATCTTTAAAAAATATTCTTTTGTCTTTTTCATATTATATAAATCGTTGTTTTTTAATTGATATATATTGTTATGTACAATGTTTTAGACGAAAAAATTAGGAAAAAGGAAAGAGGAATAGGCAAAGACAATGTGAGACAGATAAAGGAACGAAGGAAGAGGCGGTAACTGGAGATATAACAGGGGTTCACTACCTATATGTACATGTGTATACTAATAATCGGTTTAGATAACTATTGCCAGGGACTATAGCAGTAATGTACCACACACTACGTTTATTATTCCAGACACGTGATATTCAGTCATCATTTCCGGTTTTCATTCATTACTTAATGTAAAGTTAGAAAGAAAACTTTCCCTTTTTTCTGTAGCAATGGGTTGTATAAATTCTTAACGATCAACGCTTACCGAGAAAAAGAAAAGTGAGTAAATATAAAAACTACCAGAAATCGATTTTGTTAAGGAGATTATGAACGTCACAGAGACACCTCGTTTACATAATACGTCACCAATCCTATAGCCAAACTTCATATACAATCGTCACCAATTATAAAACCTAACTCTACATGAAATGTGTTAGCCAATATGAACAAGGCACAATTACAGTTACTCATCTTCCTTGAAGAAAGAAAAATGGAAAAATTAACCTTACGCTTTCTGCAGAAATTTCGTGGACGTGATCAGACTGTAGTTATCCTTGTTTGCACTTTTCCGATTCCATACATAGTTTGAGATTGACTTTTGTGATCGATGTCACCTGAAGTACTAATTAGAAAGGTTGGTGTCGGGGTCTGAGTGGGGTTATGTGGGTCAGGGTGTGGGCCCTAACACTTCCCTTACCGACAGTTGACGGTACCTGTATAGGTAGGAGCAGCAAAGGTGAGGACCTCGAAAGTCTAATGTCATCACAATGTCAATATATATAAGGGTGTTAAACAGACTGAAATATATATATTATATATAGCGGTAGCCTTCATAATATGATGAATGACATGTTAAGTGTTGTCGCGTTTATATATATGAGGTCACGGACTTCTGAAGTGTAGATACCTATACCTGGATGTTGGAAAGTGGGACTTGGTAGAGAGACGGACATTTGATTCTGAGGGAGGATGGGGAGGGGGTTACAAATTTGAAGAAATCGGAATAATTAAGTTCAATGCACCAAAACAGGGCATAATATTAAAGCCAGATTACTTACCTTTATACAATTAAATAAAGTGATTATATAAACGGGGACTACATACTGCCAATATTTTTTTTATAAATGATTAAAACCAAAAAAATACATGTTTTGTAGAAGTTTTTTGTCTGGAATTACAAACGGATCTCACCCTTTTCCATGTCTACTATCTAATATGTATACCATATACCTCTCTGCCGCTGCCTGGCGACCAAGTCGGGCCTGATTTAATTATCCTCATCTCTAGGAAGCCCAGATTAACCTACTTTCATGATGAGCAAGTCAAAAAAATATATATTTCCATATTCTGCCAGGTCGGTTTCTTCTCCCTCTCTCCACCTCGAAATTAAATTGTCATTTTATCAGATACTTGTCCGTGATAGGGGTATTTTTGGATGTGGGGCACTGCTAACTGTGAAAGGGCAATATCCCATAATACCTCGTATCCGTCCAGCACGCGCCATATCCGTTGAACTTGCTCAGTAACCATATAACCATTTCGACCATTATTAGCCATCGAGCCCCCAGGACCTGGGGCTGATATGGAAATCTCGAGTTGGTTCAGAAATGAAAATGGTCATATGGGGCCTGTTCGTTTATGCGGAACAACCGGTTTGACCGTTTATAAATTTAACAATTTCGGGTATAAATCCTTGCGGACCTGAACATGTTTATGGAGGCCTTGCAAGGCTTTGTCAAGGCTCGTCTGAATGCAGCATCATATAACTAGGTCCGACCTTATTTAATAAACGAACAACTGTGGTCCGACCCGTTTGACCGTTCAAACAAAAACGGCCCTGGGTCACCTTCAAGTACTATGACAGATAAACACATGTACTATTAGAAATGGAAAGTTACCTGTTATTAGGATTAGATACTGATATAAGTGAAGCGACAGACAACAACATGGACGTTTAAATTGATTGTGTAACTACAATGCAATCACTTCTCTGATACCAAGTATCCATGTCATCCCTTTTTCAGTATTAAATACACCTCATAACAAAAATCGAAACCGATGCCAATACCGATTCATTAAAGTATTGAACTGCTTTAAGTTGGACATGATAGTCAGTATTAGTCCTGGGAACGACAGGATCCGTTACGAGTGCTAGGTTTCATGTTAAATTTTTTTGTTATGAGTTTATTTACAGCACATTCAGAGCACGAATTTTATAACCAGCAACATAAAAAACAAAACAACATCACGTTTTTTTAAACGACCTGATGTAGAAATGATATGTGCCAGGAATATAAAAAGAACAATTATGTACCTATTGAGATATAAACTTTTAAGTATGTACATAACTTAACTGTGGCGACATCTTAAGCAGACCCTCGACGTGGACGGTGTGTTTTCGTTAAAACGATCCCTGTTCAAACAGGATGATTCACGGGTTAAGCTTGGAGATATATCGACAGCCATTTTCTTGTTCGTGTCAAGTACCATCGCTGTTTATGGCCTGATAAACTACCCGGTCCTCGAGTCATAAATAATACACCTACCGGTATATAGTGACTTACTGGCCGTGGCATCTCGCGTGTCTACCCTGACAACCGCCACTTTACGTACATACAACATATAACATTTACCACAGAGCTTCCGGTTACCTATATAAGACAGCTATCGAATCAGCATATTACTTATACTTTTAGAAATTGACTTCCGTGTACCTACTGTCCGCTAATCATACCATATATCATATGACATTCGTCATATGGTTTTCGTCAAACTACCCTATATACATGTACCTATCGATTCAGAAAATTACCATTTGAAAATGACTTCTGGTTACCTACTCTGTACACTAACTAATACGATGTATCCCATAGGACTTCCGGTTACCTACTCTGTAGACTAACCAATACGATGTATCCCATAGGACTTCCGGTTACCTACTCTGTACACTAACTAATACGATGTATCCCATAGGACTTCCGGTTACCTACTCTGTACACTAACCAATACGATGTATCCCATAGGACCTCCGGTTACCTAATCTAGACAACTATCGATGCAGCATGTTCCCTTTGGGAAAAGACTTCCGGTTACCGACTTAAGGCAGAATATTACCTTTAGAAATGGATTTCCGGTAAATTCCTATGTACGCTTACGGATATGATACATCTAATCGGACTCTATGTTGCATTTAGACTTAGACATAGCCGACCGACTTGACATTCATGTCATTTGTAGAATATTTGAGCATGTACTTCTTGATTCCGGAAATAGAATGTACTTCCGTTTGGCAAAAGTATCCACCTACAAGCTAAGTTTATTTTGAACACAAACAGTAATTGGAAGTTTATTTTTGGGAGCTTTCGGAAACGTCTGTTTCCTTTGTGAAGCAAAGAGTGCAGATGACTGTTGTCTCGACTCCATACCGCTGAAAATAACTCAATAAGCCTCATTTGACAATAAAAAGTCAGTAAGTCAGTAATCAGAAAATACCGAGACATTTCACCAGGTAACACTGTAATACTACAGGCAGTCAGAGGGACGGGTAATATGTTTACCCATTCCGC